ACGGGTATCCAATCAAGCAGAGACGCTTCCGCTCGTTCGCTCAATACAATACCCACCCCAGCATATCCAGCTGCAGCGGCCTCTGCATCACCAGAGGTGCGCAGTCGGAACCTGGAAGAGAGCGAGGGGGCAGCCAGTTCGATTACAGTACTTGCGTCCTGCGTCCTTGTTTCTGACAGACAACATACATCAATACAAAGGTAATCCAGTGTATGCGCAATAGCTACCTGTTGACCTGCTTGCTTCAGTGTGCGATCATTGAATGTGGCTAAGTAGACAGGCTTTCGGGGTTTGAAAACAGACTTCGAAGTGTTTAGGGTTGTAACTGAACTCGGACGTGCAGAAGCTGCAGCTGAGTGTGATGCAGGGCGAGCAAGGGCGAGGGGGTAGAGGGTGACGGTTTGGACCCGAAAGACATCTTGGTGAATTCAACGAGACTGAATTAATTAGTAAATGATGTTGAAGTTGACGAGAATGCGAGATAGACATTAATAATAGAGCAGACCCACGGTACTTCCTAAGCTTCTAGTAGCAAAGCGGTGACCTTAAGTTCGGGTGAATTTTCAGCTGGAAGCTTTGCTAGGTCAGTTAGCTGGGTCCGCTGGATGTACACTGACTTCGACCAAGTAGCTCGTTGTTGAGGTCCTTCTCCGAACCTAGAGAAGGCGGTTCAGGCAGTTACCGTCGCCGAACGTTCGAGTCACACACTGGTTCATTGGTTTCTCCGTTCCGACACGGTGATTGGCAACGTCCTACGGCGGACGGCCCGTGGCTAGATAACGTCTTCCGGTTTTTCTAACTCGTTTTCGAATCCATTCAATTTCCTAGTCATTGAAGCTTCATTTATTTTAGTTTTTTCTTTCGTAGATGTGGCCAGATCAAACAGTAAGCTGTTCATTTTACCGCAAGTCCACTTGGACTTGGTGACACCCAAACTTTCCATACACTACAAACATGTGCCTTTTAGTACATTATTTTACAGAGCGAGGCACTGAATCACAGCTTCGGATAGGCTCCCTCTTAGTCTGAAAATACTTCAACGACAGGCGAGCTTATCACCCAACGCAAATTGTGGTGCTGGCGCAAAATATGCATACCTTTCTATTCCTGCTTACTAGAGAGGATATAGTACGTAGGATATTGGGTGCATAGATAGACATGTCGTGTTATACAACTGCGAGCCTTTTGGGAAATAATGATTATGCCTCTGTCGTCGATCAACCCATGTTCAGAAATTTCTTTCTGTGTACTCTTGCTGTATGGTTTATATATAGCTAATAAACGGGATTAAACTAGCTTCTACATCCAATGGCATCTATTCCACTGCGGTATTGGGTGAATTGAACAATGCATTGTGACATCGCACCGATAACAGTAGTAGAATGCTAGAAAATACTGTGGTCGCCTAATCGATCGTCGTGCGTTCGGTTTATCTCGGTCACTTGGACTATGTTTACTCATCAGCGAATTTTCACAACGTACCGCTGGCCCCATTCGCTTAGTTTCCTTAATCTATTACTTGTCGCTTATGATGTCTGCCTACTTCTTATGGACCAATATGTCTGTCCCCATATACCGATTGAACTTGTGAGTTCAGGCTGAATGTTCTGTGCCCGTGTACATTCCGGATGTGAGCGACAAGTGTTGTGACTGATGGACGCAGCAGAAATGGTGCTCTGTCATATCAACTATTATCAGAATGTCATAACTGCTTGGTTGGTCAACAACCCACGACCCTTGCGGAACCACCGATTTTCAGACACGAATATCTGGTCACAAGGGAACAGGATAACTGCTTTGCTTTGCGTGAGACGATTCCGGCAGAAGTACCAGAGTTCGAACTGGCGTGTCTCACCTCCTGGTGCCTCTCTTTCGGAATAATCAGTCCCTTTAGATACCGTTGCCTAAAAGCTAAATAGCTACGTGAAAGAGATTCTCTCGTAAGGAATGGTGAAAGGGCTGGAGAACTTGTTGCAACGTATTTCGGAGCCCTAAGAAAAATGGTCAAGAGTGGCGTATCATGAGGCAGTGGATCGCAGCATTCTCCCTCGAGGAGAGTCTTCCATAAAGGAAATATCTGGGTCCGTGGTTAGCAAATTCTTCACGCTGACGGTCATAAACGTGATCGAACATCCCACAAAATACGAAAATTGAAAGCTTGCAGAAGTATTCTTTAAACGCGTTTTTAGTAATTTAGACCTACTGTGTCTTCTCACTGACTGTCCTACAACATCAGTTGTTGCTTCGAGCCCAAATTTTCATTCAGTGTGATATTATGATAGTGCGGTGCATTCACATCCAAACATTGCTATGATCTTACTGTCCCCCCTACAGACAAATTCGACCAAGCCGTATTTACGGAAGAAGGCAGTGCTTCTACTATATAAGGTTTTTCTCAATCATCCAGAGGCCCTACGCATCTGTTTCCCTCGTCTAAAAGAGAAACTAGAAGACCCTGACCCCGGTGAGTACATTTATTGAAACCTGGAAAATTTGCTACACAGTCTCGTCTCTCCTCTCAGCCTTCCAGTCGCTACTCCGTTTTTTGTTCGTTCTAGCTCACCGGTTCATCCCGTGTTCATTGAACTGCGGGCAAAAGGCTCCGCGTACACGATAATCGCAAAGATTTCTGTCTCTGATTGTTCGTTATATCCTGTCTTTTTTTTAACCTAGTTTGTACATCTATTCCCTATTGGTCCATATCGTGGTCCAACTAGCCAGTTGACTCAACTCATGCCTTTCACAGCATTCCTTCTGTGCGGCAGGAGACCGTTAAACACTGATTTTCTCCTTCATATGTAAGCATTAGTGAAGCCGCAGTAGGACCCTGGTGGTAGTCGGCTTGTGCTCCCGACGCACAAATACAAACCACTGACATGCTCTCATGCGTTAAATTTGTGAACGGGCATTAAGGAAGACTGTTGGGCGGAATTCTGCTGCAAAACCGCTTTATCGCTCACAGCTGCCGCTAAAGCCAAGAAGTCTAAACCGCACGCGATTGGCCAAAAGACCGGGCGGTTTGCCGGTCCAGCATTTGGGTGGGCTGGGGTGGTCGAAATTGTGGACCCAACAGCCAATCATGGCTCAGTATCCATCAGATGCCAGTTGCCAATACCGCATCCAGTGGATGTCGGAGTTTCCAGAATGTCATCGCGTCACACACTTTAAATAAGATGTACTGTACGTGTTTTTTTACCTGGTTTTGGGCGTTTACTACACGTTGTGACCTTTCGTCGTTCTTTTGCCGAAAGCGCCAGCTCGGGAGCTTCGAACCACGAACTGACATAAGGCTTTCCTTCTATTACTAGGGCATTGACAGCTGAGATCGTTTAGATGACCGCTCGGTTGTTCTTTGAGCTAGGTAGTTTGGTTGCCAACGTTCCGTTACCAATCAGGGTAATATTGTCAGCTCGCCGTTATGTAGCCGAGCCGCGCGAACGCATATCCTTTTAAATTGGAGTGTGATCAATGAAAGCATGCGTGAAATCCCACCCATTCCTCGTGTAGTTTACGTTTTACATCAAAATCGGTTTTCTGGAAATGGCTTGAAAACTTGAAGGCATACTGATATACTTCCGGCTCATGTTCTAAAGGAACATTTTGTGGTGCTTTTTGACGTAAATTTATCAGTATGTTGAACTGGTAATGTAATAGTCGACGAAAGTCCGTATTATTTTCCAGCAACCTGTCGCCACACGGGTTTATGGTTCTGGTTGTCAGTTCCCTAGGAGTAAAGTCGTTTCACCAATAGATGATAAAGAAAAACATGAATCACTTTCGAGCGAACTTCATACATCGACTTCAGTTTCACGGCGATTCCCACCATGAATGCAACAGTCGGGTTATGTTGCACCAGACAGGCTCAGCTACTGCGGTATTTTGCAGTTAACGGTTGGTGTTTTCCCCACTGTTTGTTTACGTCCACTTGTTCTGAGGACATTTTGATTTTCTGTTGTTCATAATAGAACATTCACCTTTTTGAGCAACTTCGAAAGTCGTGACAGCTAGGGAGACGCCAACGATAACTCGCTCTAACGTGATGACCTTCGACTCAACCTCCGAATCAACCGTGGATCCCGTTGGATTAAGTCACCATCAGCTGTCGGTGGGGTGCTGCCGTTCAAGACTGTTGTTACTCTATGGAGGAAAATGTTGGTAGCTCAGGTAGCGTAGATGGTCGTTGGCTTGTTCGGTGAGCTGGGTAATTTGATTGCAAACGTTTCGTCACCAATCGAGGTTACATCATCAGTGCGCTATGGGGGGGGAGTGTAATGGTGCCTAGCGGTGGGCTAGTGGTTGCGCACAACCAAATTGCCTAGCTCAGCGAACAAGCCAATGACCAACTGTTGTTGCTTCTGCGGCACGCGCATTTTCACGCTATATTGCGAACGTGTCTGGTAGCTTGCTTGAAATTAATACTTCGACAACCGAAAAAATGTGTCAAACTATCATCTTTGGAGAGCCACCATATCGCGGCAGTTTTGATCTGAGCTAATAATAAGCTTGTGGATGAGATATGGCAAAATGTAAGGAGAGGTTTTCTCGACATTTAAGGCTGTTTGTCCAACTCCTCTGCTACGATCAGGTGACAACTCAGTTTCGTGATTATTGCTGGGATATCCACACCAGTATAGGTAAACGAGACTTCATGTAGACCTCCCAAACACAGATTATTGAACAGGTCAAAGGGTAACAGCGTTCTTCTGGACATTTAAGATTTCTGAAAGCTGGAGAAGAGCTTAGCTACCGGAAGCATATGTACCTTAAACCACTTAGTTCGATCGATCGACCGTCAGAAAACACCGGTTAGTGGGACAGTAAGTGAGGAAGACAGTATACTGGTTCATTCTCGGGAAAGGCAATGGGGATGACGGGTCGAGCACGTTTAAGGAAGGTTTAGTGCTACAGCCGCTTTCAAAGTGAGAAACATACCAATTTCAGGTGTATTTTGTGCAGTTTTCTTCACAGAAGACAAGTTGCCTCCGGTAACCTTGCTGGTGGTTTATGAAATGAGGAGAGAGTGCTTGCACAGTAGGCGCCTCAAAAGTCTTCCCCATCTTTAGAGGCGGTACGCTAATATTAAGTTACGGGCAACGTGGGATTAACCTGGTAGTTGTGGCACCCGAAGTGTGCTCGGGTGTCATTTTCGTAGGTTGACTGAACACAGCTGAGAGACAGATACTTGTAAATCTAGCTAATTTTTTCCCATGAATAATCAGTTAGTTAGTCCTCCTAGATTCCTTAACAGCTCTCTTAAGTTGAAAGCTGCCTTTGACTGTTGATCTTCGGTGGTCATGACAACTGAAGTACACCTATGGGGTTCGGTCACATATATCGAGTACGCGGATGACATAGCTTTTCGAAATGCAAGCAGTATTAAATAAGCCAAATAATTCTGCCTCGATTCGGCGTGCCCTTCATACCTGCAAAGTTCAGAGTGGTCCCGCAACACTGAGTGGGATCAAACCCAGAACTCATGCTTGTTGATGAGCCAGTTGATGTGGCAACCAAACTGTTTTGCCGGGTTAGTCCCGATAATCTGATGATGATATTGCCATTCGGGTATGGAAGGTCAGAGAAACTTTTGTCAACCTGCAGCATCCGTCGCAAGTGTAACGTCAGCTTGCCTGTCAGGAGTCGAATCTACAATACTGCACTGTACTCCATATTGTTATATAGACCGAAAGCTTGCCCTTCACGAGTCAAGAGCATAAAAAACCTGTCGTTTTCTTCGGAGCATCGACCGAGTCTAATGAGGACACTGGTTTTCGGAGGAAACCACAACCAGTGTTGAAGTTTGCACAGTTACTGAGACCTCTGGGATGGTAAACGCTACATGGCAGAAGGAACACGTTTATCGTACTTTTGGTTTAAAGAGTATTCGTTAATTCTGGTTCTTTTTTCGATGCCATTATAAGTGTAGGCCGAACAAATTTGTGTGGGGTTTTCTGATGTAGCAAGTAAGCGCTACAGAAAGACACCTTTTGATCTGCCACTCTCATTTTGATGTTCGACCCGCGAACCTTCCGATCGCTAAGTTCGCTGCATCCTAGGGTACTGCGTTTTGCCTCTGATTTTTGCTTCAGCTTTGCCGGCCTAACGAATTCCAAAGTACTCATGATCTCATTTGCTGCGCTCTGTTATACATAGAATGACAGTCTTTCAGGCTGTTGCAAAACCTTAATAAAAGACTTCATTGTCGTTTTCTATTTATATCGTATATTTCAGGCGTCCAGTCAGCCGCTGTAAATGTGATTTGTGAGTTAGCAAGGAAGAACCCCAAAAATTATTTATCGCTCGCTCCAGTCTTCTTCAAACTGATGACGAGTTCCACCAACAATTGGGTTTTGATAAAAATAATCAAACTGGTAGGTTTCTTGCTTTTTTCATGGTGGTGGAGTTAAACCCATCTGCTTTCTGCCTTAGTTTTTTATGCTAACAGCTTTCATTGTTTTGCAGACGAATCCTGTAATTATTTTGAAACAAGTGATCGTAATGCTTTCACATTTCTGCAGATCACTGAATTTTGTGGTATTCTTGATGAAGTGGCCAGTATATTTTTGTCGTGTTTTTTGATGCATCTACTTCCAATTCTTCACCCTCAAGTTTGTTTCACGAAGAAAACTAGCGCTTCATCATACAGTTGGATTGCATTGATGAATGTAACCTATTCCCTCTCTGCGGTTGTCTAATATACAAGTGAGTGTTGTTCGGAGGGATGGCTGACTCAACACAGATCTTGGAGTACATGTGCAGAGAGAGAGAGAGAGAGAAATGGGAACCAACTGGTTGGTGTGCATTAATGCGTTTGACCAAATGCCGATCCCAAATTACTTGCATGCAAGCTGACTGCTATAGAGCGTTTTATTTATCAGTAAACGTCCGGATTGCTTCCTTAATGTCTACCTCAGCTGCTCCTCGCTTGCTTTAGCGGAACTAAGGGTGACAGGCGAGTCGTCATGACGCGGCTTTGGTGTCAGCCTGTGCAAAGCTGACCGTCCAGAACATCTGCTAGTCAGGTTCTGTATGAGGTATTTTTGAAACCCACTAGATGTAATGGTTGACCGCAACCTGTAATCTCTGAGTTTTCGAGATGGGTCAACATTCATTCGTCCAACTTTTTATGACGTTCCGTATTCGTACGTAATTTTTTTACGTATTCGTGAAGTACTGATGCTAAGCTGGTTGTTCCTTGTTTTTGATAAACTTTTTATTCATCATTTGGACAGTAGGCACCCCTTCATCGTAAGCAAAATACCTAGAATGCGGATGAAATTTAATAAAAAATCGGTCGGTAATATAATGAAGCTTTTATGAATCATATACTGGATTCACTTTGGGAGGGTGAAGTGAGGGTGGAGCGAAAATTAAGAAGACCGCCCAGGTTTGAAGGATAAGTCTTTCCGACCACAAATGAGTGTACATCACTTGAGAGAACACTGGAACTTGTGGAATTTTTTCCTCGGTAGCCGCGTTAGCTCTGGTGGAAGTGCATCTGATGAAACAGACACACAGTTCCAAACTGCCGGATCACGGTCGTCAGTTTGCGCCGTTTATGACATGTCAAGGACACTTAGCATTCGGTCTCAAAGGGCTCGTGCATCAGGCTGCGGTCGCGAGATGAAGAACTGGGCCACTTACGTCTTAGTTGTTGGATAACATCGCCTATTTCGTGTCGGATAGTGCATCACAAAAACAGTTTTCTTGTTCAGCGGGCTCTTCAGCAACAGGAGATATCCAGCTTCGTAAACCGCGTTGGCTAAGCTGTGTGCTACACACACTAAATCATTGTGTACTGATGCGAGTGATGCCCTATATGTCCCCTTTACAATGTTACGAACTGTGAGGTGGACAACAGCAGGTTTGATAGAAGGAGATAAAGAAGATAAAGGAAAGTCTGTGTAATGGTGATGCAGTCTGCTTTCCAGGGTGTCGTGTTGTGCAACTCATATGTCGGTCCTTCGCTTCCGGTGCGTTATGGATTTTTTAAAAATTGAAGAGCTCTGAGATAGAAAATGATAAAATATGGACATGAATGGCAGAATGTGGAGGTTTTATTCTACTAATCCCTGATTTCCAAACATTTTCAGAACACCCTGTAGATTATCCGTCGCTGCATAATTATGGTACTTAGTGCAATGACTTCGGGTGTACTAAATAGTTTACGAAATCCAAATGCGCTGAACTTTATGCGAACGAATTACAGACCGGAGACCTTTTTCGTTCCATTGTTCGCCGGCTGCCCATTGAGTTAGTCGTGTGTCTAGTGTTTTCCGAGTTCCTCTCCCAAACATTGCATTTGGTTGTGCCATCTATTTTGCCATGTCTTGCTTGGACCTTTTGCCGAATACTTTTACGTGATAGAAGGAAATGGAAATGGAATGAAATCATGTCTGGGTGCAGTTGGCGGTTTTATTCTTCCAGGATGGCATACAGTTGACCCTCCGTGTGCTTAGCTGGAGACATTGAAATGTGGCTGCTGGCCGATATCAGTGACGTTCATTTTGTTTGTTTCTATCCAAGGTTGTCTGATTGAGTGTTGGAAGTGCGGGCATGTCGGATGTTTGTGGTAGATTCTTTCTAGGTCATATCCCACCTTTTACTGTTTCCATTGTTGGACTTTATTCAAATAGACTGAGATTGTTGTGCAACAGTTAGGCATTAGTGTCCCTTTTTGATATTACATACCCACCAGTCAGTCGTACACTGAGGAACTTAATGTAGCTGTCCAACTACTATCCGCTTGAGCAACCAGGACATGGCTTTCAGTTTGGCAAATGTGACTCAGGCCGGGTGAATCGATTTCATTCCCTCGAAAGCATTCTTCGACGTATTCTTTGTGACATCATACACATTCTTCAGTATATACACAGCTGTCGTCAAAATCCGGGTTTTATTTGTTTACGTTTTTTCAGTTTGGAGCTCTCACACCAATCGAGCCTCGATTGGGTAAGAAGTTGATTGAGCCTCTGACAAATCTGATTCACAGGTAGGTGACTTTTTGCATGGTTTTGGGATGTGTCTATACTCCTTTGTTGTTGGTTAGACCTAATTTTCCTGGAAGGAGTTCGCTTGTTATATGAATTGCATGCATTTCCGATGGTTGACGGAGCCGCATATCCTCGCATATTTTGTTCTTTGTGCAGTCATCTGTTAGTTATCCTGGTTTCCATAAGATTTTACTCGGATGCACATTCCCGTAACCTCTCACAATTTCCATGTCTAGACCGGGTTTTATAATATGTTTTGTCAAAGTGTGGTTGCACTGCACCCACACTGGAACTTATCATTTTAACTTTAGATTGCTGTGCTTCTGGGAAGCTGGATATTCACAATTGGTCCCTCCTCGATAGTATTCTAGAAAGTTAGTTGTCATCTTTGCTTGTAACTTTGTTGTCATCAGCTAGAAGGTACCGTGCCAACTGCAGGTCACCAATGTCAGAATTTGTTGCTCACTGGCTATTAGAATCGATCAAGGCTGCTTGGGAGCCGCGCTACTCTATGATTTCCCAAGCCTGGACTGAAGATTGATTAGGGTCCTCAATCAAAGCATTTGAGTCGAACACTTCATTCCATTCACGACACTGTTCATGGTTGCCAGCCAGATTGCTTACCGGTGTACTGTCGTCGATGATGCTTGTAGTGTCACTGATCATTTCTTAATTTTATACGTCTTGGCACTTATGGGGGGGGGGGTTTTTCACATTTAGGCGAATTTAGTCCCGCTTTAGAATGAGTATTTTCACTGTCGTAGGTGTTACTTCATTCACTTGTAGCTACTCTTATGTTAACAACCAGTAGTATCTTACCCAGTTCTACAACTTGATCAGCTATTTTCTCATTCAACTTACAGCACGTCGGCAATGTCTCTTCTGTACGAATGCATCAACACAGTTATCGCTGGTACGTCCCTACATCTCTATTGCATGGATTCATCTAGTGCAGCACACACCTTTGTTTTGACCTGCTTTGAATTCATTTATTAACCACAGTGCAAGAATGACCCACTTTGTTCCACGATAATCCAACGTGGTTCAGCAAAGATATTATTCGAACTGTCTGATCTTAGACCAACCTTTGAAGTGGGATGTTTTCCTCGCATTCTTGCGCATTACATATGAGTGTTTACTTTTCCTCAACTGGTACTGCAAAAGAAGCCACCTATTTATCTTTAGGAGAGTGTATCAACTGAGGACATGCTCACTCTATTGTGCACACAATGAATTAGTTCTCCGTTAGTGTCAGACGCCTTTTTGCTTGTGTGATGTTTGTACTTCGCTAACTGCTTTATCGTCTGATTAGTTTCTGACACAGTCTACCAAGCGGTGATTTCGTGCGAGTGGTGCTGATGTTTGTTTTTTTCCAAGTGCATTACGCGCTTTTCACTCACAACTACTGTGTATCTCTAACTTCATATCCTAAAATGTCTACATCTCTGCTGTTTTTTTGTTCTTTGACAGTGCTGATCTCCATATCTTCAGGTGTGCCAAACCACCAGGCATCCATACAGGTCAGTCTCACTACTGCATTCAGTAGTCAATTTCTACGAGTTCCGATGTGCTGCGCATTTCACGTTATTTCAACGTAAATCTAGTTCTCCAACTGGGGCACATTTTTCAGTGCAAGACATCTATGCGTTTTGAGATGAGCACGAAGCGCGAGTTACCTGGGACGGAAGCCGGGATGGGGTTCTAACTACGGGTTTCTTGATCACCAGTGTCTCTGTAGCCTGCTTCCAGTTCACTTCACTTATTCTTGTTCCAGACAAGCTTGATTGGAAGGAATTCTGAAGAAATTATTCACTTAAGAGGAAGCGTGTTCAACAAATTGATATTATTCAACAGCCGGACGATCTTATCAAGGTGGCTGATCGATTTGCCCACATGGTCCATATCGCACGAAAGTCACTGTATTTCCCCTTATATCAGGGTAGCTAACACTGGTCGGGTAATTCCCCCTCCAGTCTGAAATTGGTTGCACCTCAATAAGCGGACCATGTCTAACCAACGTACATTACTTTAGAGCAGCACGGCTGAATATAATTCCTCTCACCAAGCGCCTCTGCTATGCGCTAGATACACTACCCAGTGTAAAAATAGATGGTTTTTACACTCAGCTATAGTCTGTCTCTATACAGTAGTTTCGGCCTTCTTCGGCGTTATAGACTATTCTCCAGCTTTTAGTGAAGCAGTCTGGAAACGCAGGTGCGACTTCGCTTTAGAATGCGGTAGTAAGTTACACTCGTCAGCGAAAAACAGCATAATAGTCTCCTAGTCAAGTCAGGTTCAGTTTATGGCCTGGAAACGAAGTATCAAAGCACTAATCGGTGAACTCGGTTTGAGAACTGCCGCCTCCCTGGATTGGTAGCCTGAGACTCACTTGATCAGTGTTTACCCATGGCTCAATCACGCAGTCATTGCCCATCCTGCACCAGAACTATCACATTCAAAGGGTAGCTGCCTATCCCGTTCTGTCAGCTTACTACACTGACTCAGTGTGAACTAACTGACTATGCCTTCGTCTTCAGTACGTGACTATCTTTCCCCTGCTCCCCCATTTTCCGACGATTGAGAACAAACGTACCCTCGGTACATGGTTTATACCTGGTAAACTGAAGTATACCATCCATACCATGCAGAATAGCAAAGCAACCTGAATTTTGGAACCCATTCGTTTCATTCTTGAAATATGAAAACACCTGTCCAAATGCCGAAACACGAAAATTCATCCGGGAGTGCAAACATTTCGACATCATTGACCACTTCTTTTTGGCTCTCCTACAATTAAAGAACTACTCATACTGCTCTTCTGTTCACCGAATCAAAGGCCATGGTGAAGTCAACGAATAGGGCAGGTAGTGGTTCACTGCGTTTGCGGATTTCTTTATATGTTCCGCTGCGAAATTAGTAATATATCCACTACAGAAACTTCATTTTCTCCTGAACGGCTTCATCTAGCATATCCGTATTTAGCCGATTTGTCGGAACTTTAGCTACCAACAGTACAGATTAGGCTTATTCCATGAGAATTGTCTGCCTTTTGAATAAAGGTGTCGCTGAATAGAAAGTGTAGATGGCAGCCTGTCGAACAGTACTGCACGCACGGTCTCTGTTAGCGAAGAAAGCTGGACTGGCTTCTCTGGGTCTGACGTTTTTGACCGTAATCAGGTCTTTCTGAGTAGATATGCTGCTGAATGTGGATTTGGATTTTTTTTGATTACCTCTGAGGCGTATTCATTCCCATTTCTTTTCAGCTTTGCGTGCAAAAACTTCGAATCCTCATTGAGGATTCGGATCAAAACCGTAAGTGACTGTTTTGTCACCATTACTGGTGTTTAGCGTTTCAATATTCATAGGCGCTTGTCATCGCATTAGTTTCGATGGATTTAGTCTCATCGCTTTTTTATGAGTACCATTCAGAATGCGCTGCCGCTCCTTATGTACTGTCTTCTCCGGCTTCTTCTAACTTCACCGTCATATGCTCGTAAAATGGTTCGAATTTGTCCTGAAATATCCTCAAAGCTTGAACTTGTAGTCGTACACCGCGATTCTCAACTTGGGCGACAGCTTATCAGGAACTGTGCTGCCCAAGCGATTCAGTCACCTGACAACGCAAGCAAAATCGGTCTCTTTTAATCTGGGTGACGAAACACAATCCTCTCTTTAGTGGTTCAACTTCTGAACCTGTGGTTGCATCACACCACCATTTTGGTCCTTTCATCGTATCTCATTAAAGTTATGATGCCTTCGAAGCTCCCGTATTCGAGTACTTCTTGGTGAAGTGCAGAATAGGTTATGAACTTTACTGTTCGCGAATGGTCGACTTGGAGTATTCGCTTCAAAGTGATTGAATCGTATGTTCGATCAATCAATGTAGTTTTCCGAGTGAGGTGTGTACTGATGCTACGGTCGCAATATGAAGGTAGGCGCATTACACAATGCATGATAAGTTGGGGTGCTTACAGTTGTAAATAATTTGAAGGAACAGTTTCTAGTGGCGCAGTCGTACAATGTTTGGTCTGGACTGGATGCATAGGTGAAATGAAATGTGAGATCAACTGAGTACTGACAGGATCTAATACAGGTATTTTTTTGACACCCTATTAAGTAGATCTGGGCACGAATCGCCTGGTAGCAGGCACGCGATGTTCAAGGAGATTTCTGTACATTTGCGTCCCCTATGCGGAAGAATTTATTAACATTCCGAGACCGTCAGAGGCGATTGACATCTTTCAGGCTGAATTCACTAGCTACTCACTACAAAGGGACAAGTTAACGTCATAACGCTAACTTCTTTCTGACTATGCCGTGTTGCAAACCAACTTATAACTGTCCTTTCATTTCTTCCAGTAAAATACCTAGGTCTTCTAGCAATGACGAAAATCCTGCGGTATCATCCGAAGAGTGTTCAATCCCATAAGGATCTTATTTTCCGATGTCTGGACGACAAGGATGAGTCCATACGGCTGCGAGCTTTGAACCTGCTTCATGGCATGGTTTCGAAACAAAATTTGATTGAAATCGTCAAATTTCTCACCAAACATGTCAAGAATGTTTCTGGTGGAACCTATTACCGAAATGAGCTTGTCACGAAAATCGTGCACATATGCTCCCAAGAGAACTACCACTACGTCACTTCGTTTGAGTGGTAAGTGTCCTGTACCATTGTTCTAAGTTATTTGCTCACTTTTGGGCTAGTATATAGCTTCGAATTTCCCTTTTAGGCAGACTGTACAATGCACAATAAATTTTTATAGATTCAATGATAGTTGATGTAAATATGGCGGTTAGAGTGGGCCCCAGTTTGACGGAACTATGTTCACTCTTCATTGGAAACCATCTCCTGCCTCATCGCTTTTACGTGATCTCCACCGATTGTTTACCAAACCCCTCTGAAATGATCTTTTTTTCTCTTTACCGAACTGCATAGTTCTCATGGAAAGCCATAGATACGCTTTCAAGGCCTCATTTTTTTCGGGATCTTTTCTTTGCAGGGCATACAAACAAAATCATCCATATTCTCAGTGTTACGAAGTTGGTTAGCTGCATTGTTTAGCTCTAATGTGTGCCTCAACCTGGATGGTCGAGCAGATGAACGGTAGACGCATTTCGCGTTCGTCTTACGGCTGATTTGGTGATTTAGGGTAGCTTTCGTGAGCGTCAGTCTGTACTTCCCCGTGAAAACTGGTGGGTTGTTGGACACTTGATTACGGAGATTGCTAACCCAGGGTGGGTCTTGACGAGACCATTGTAACTGCGCTGTGTCCCATTAGGATAGAAATCAGTCAACGACAGCTGACCAAGTTTTTCGTGTGTGTTTTACTCACTGATAATGAACACCATTCACGTGGTTCATGCACTACACAAGTGGCTTATCGTAAAACGCCTGTGGATATATCGTCGGTCCCTTGCTTGGCAAGCTACTATGTGTATCAGTTAACGGATATCTTTCGTAACTACTTTGCAACTCTCAGCTTGGTGAGCTTAGTGGGTACAAGCCTGCCACAAGCCAATTTCCGGGAGCTTTTGGATCTCTGTGGGTACATTGAGGCTTACAAAGTTTCAAAACCTCATTTTACCATCACAACATAAAAGGGAGTGTTGTCAGTATTGCGTGGAATATCTCAATTATGTATTCATACTTTTTCTAAGTTAACAGTATAAGCCAGTGTTCACAGCCTTCGGTATAATATTTCCAAATGAGTGAAACCCTCAATAAACTGGTCTAGTTCCAGAGGGACTAGACACTAACTCGTGCCTGACGGGAAACGCTCTCACTTACTCTCTAGGGATATGGTCTTCGTCGTGAGGGGTATTGTATATTATTTTGCTTCATGATACAACATACTGTCTTACTTCACTTTTCCGTGTTTGTGTGAAGTTATCTACTGCGTGTACATGACATGTGTGTGATCACTGCCCCTCGACTTACCCTGTCTAGGCTTGGGCAACCTGGCAGTATCCCAGTCCTCTTGCTTCCCTCGGCATGGCAGCTAGGCACCGAAAGGGTGCCACAGCTGGAGGATTATTATTATTATTACTGTTATTATTATTATTTGATGTGTGCAAGGTGTGGATTGGGCGATACTGCAGCGCTTAAGATGCTAACTTAAGTGAGGCAACGGAAGGTTTGAGAATCATTGGTATGATTTTATTACCCCCGAACTGATTCAGGACTGACGCCTTATAAAGATAGCGAATGCACAAATCTTCGGGTTGGTAGAAAAGCTACAATGCACAACAAGTTATTGCAAACAACCAGTGTCAGAAAAGAACCGATCCTGGAGCAAGGAACTCACACGAACCAAATCAAGCCTAACGGTTCACCGATGACCTCACTTCAGTTAGCCGTGAAACATTTGTGACGTAAAGTTCCTGTTACTCTTGATAGTATATTCAAAGAACTACTGAGTATTTTTTAAATTTTATCGTTGAGGTTTCCTGATACCGTAATCGCAACCGCCCAACTAACCTATTTTATTCTCTGCACTGACTTGATCAGAATGTTTGGGAGTGTGGTTTGCTTCATGGGAGTATTACCTAAATTTAGTGTACACATTTGAACTTGGCTGAGAACTAGACCGTTTCTTTCTCTCTGTGGGACCAGTATAGTTGTTTTATGAATGTTATCCAATCCCTCGATGTAAAAAGCTGAGCTTTTGGCTAATCGAAGTTCAAATAACTCGCGACCAAATGCATCTCATCGGCTGGATGGAACTTTTTCACGCATAATTACCTGTGTCCTATGGGCGATTGTAGTAAGAGGGTGTTTGGTATCTTCAGCGCGACGTTTTCAATGAAGGTCAGCTCATAGCGTTTCCAATCAAATTTTTAACGAACATTGTCTTTCCATCGTTCTAGGTACATCACTGTGCTGGTCGAACTGGCCCTCATAGATGGCGTACGGAATGGTGAATTATTAGCTGCTCAACTCATGGATGTCGCGATACGCGTTCCATCAGTCCAGTTATTTTGTGTCACACAAATGGCTCTGCTGTTGGACTTTTGCACTACTACAACATCTTCCTCAGGTTTTCGACAGGGGGCCATTCATGAGGTTGTTCATGCTGCCAGCTGGATTTGTGCTGAATACGGAAGGTGAGCGTTGGTTCTGTTTGGCTTGATGTCATTCCATCACCTGTTCTTTTTAGACTGTTGTGTGCTTTATTTACTGCATTAGTGCTTAATGTTACTGGGTGATGTGCGTATCCTTCGCATCGGCCTGTAGATGACATTCGCTTTCTTGCACGAAAATACCACCGCACAGACCCATAGCAACCCCTAATTTGGGTTGAGAGATTGTCTGCTTTTCCCAGCAGTTACATATATTTATTTTGTATGCATAGTGTCATCAACATTGTCAGTTGTAACAACCGCGTACTTGCCGTACAGTGATTGTAGCTGCCACAGTTTCGTTCACTCATGATTCGGGGAGTTGGTGTGTATCGACATTGGAGAGGGCGGGTTATTTCTTCCGAAAACTATTCAGCGTTCCTCAGCTTTGCTTATCCGACGTTCCCACTGGACTCGGAGGATGCCTCGAAAACATCGATAGTCAAACACTGAAACTCATGATGTCCTCAGCGCGTAACGGCTGATTTCCTGACCCGTATGCCAATATGAAGCGCGCCACAGCATTGTAAACTAGACCCTTGAAGAATAAGCTGATTTGACGCCTACGCGTACTCACGAAAGCTGCTCTGACCTTCGCCGTCCGAATGTAAATATCATCTTCCGCGAGACCACCTGGACTGATACAGTACACACTTTTGTCGACTACCTTAATCCGCTCATCCGCATACATGAGTTTACATTCGAACCCATCCAGTCTCACAGCACTTCACACTTTGCACATGCCAAACCATGAGGTAGAATTATTTAAATTAGTTACTACAGCTTGCGTCACCACGGCGTCAGACCCAAGAAGAGCTATGCCGTCTGTGGGTGAACGCCCTTGGAAGACTGACCCACACGCACTAGAGTTTGGTAGTGAGTCTTCCACAATCGTATCAGTGACAAAGTTGAAGAGGAAAGGTGGAAGATGAGAGGCTCGCCGGACACTACTCGATGTTTTGAACTCAGGCGAAAGCTTCTCCTAGGTCTTCACACCCGCGGAAGTTGGCGTAAAGGGCCCTAAGAAGAGCCAAGAATTTTTGAGGGATACCTTTGCCCCACAGACACTCTCACGGTGCCTGACGATTCGCAGAGTCAGAGGCAGCTTTCAAGTCAAGAGAGATCAACGTTGTTGGTCGCTGGAAACAATGTCGCTGTTCCGGAATCAGTCGGAGGGTGAAAATATGGTTAACGCATCTTCTTGCAAGATGGAACACAGTTTGGTTTCCATGGGTCTGTCTTTCCTTGTGTTTAGTCAACCTCCGAATGGTAAAACCAGATACCACCTTCGATGCTACAGCTATCAGGTTGATGCCACGGTGGTTTTCACACAGTGTCCACGTACTCTTTTTGAAGATTGAAGTGACTGTTAACATACCGCATTCTGCAAGCACTTTATTTTTACTCCAAATCGCGCCACTGAACTTTGTTGGGTAGATCTTCGGGGTTTCCCCGCCTTCTTTGAAGAGGACTGGATACAGACCGTCCTGTCCTGATGTCTTCTCACGTCCCATTATTGATACTTCGTACCCTGTTTGTTCTTCTGACGGGTGATTAAGGTTTGCATTCCATTCGCCCGTATGCACAGGCTATGTTGCAGGAGACCAGCTAAACTTCTCTTCGAAGTGTTCGGCCCATCTTCCCGGTCGGCGTTTTTGCGAGTGAGTTAATGAGTCACCCTCACTCATCGTTTCATTGACCGTTGCTTTCGCAGGACCAGTCGATGGTTTTGGTTTATATAGGGCACGGCTGTTTCCCGTTGCAAAAACATTCTCGATCTTCCGAGCGGTTGATGTCCACAAGAGCTCTCGGTCTCTCGTCAAGCTCTTCACCATTTGGCGTTTGAGGGTTTTGTGTGCGGGTCATACTCTCTGTCTGGCAGGAAAAAGGCACGAGGGCTGAACTACCCTCAGGTTGCCCCAGCCTAGACAGGAGCAGTCGAGATGCTGAGGTTGGGTTGGAACTGTGGGTCCGGTCTCTTAACCACTGAGCTATCTCGAGTTTTCCTTGCATGGCATTATGGATCTTCACAATATCCAGTGCTCATTTGATTGTGTTGAAAAAGTTGTACAGGCAGCACTGAACCCAGCTAGCATATATTTTTTCACATTTTTTCATGCTTCATCCACGTGCTCTCTACGGATGCAATATTGGGTTAGTTATTGATCTGGGTCAGATCGATCCTGTTAAGCTATGATAGTTTGAAGATAGTAGATTGGCATTCTTTTTGCTGACTTGCGATGGTCTGAAGGGAAAGGAACTGTTAGGCTTGCACGCAGCATAGCGTGATCGGAATCAAGTTGCTTGCCACAGAAGGAACGGCAGTATTGAATTGTGACTCCACCGGTGGCTGATGGCCACGTGATCCAACTGGATCCACGGTTGATTTGCAGCTGGTGGTCGCCAGGTTACGCGATGCGAACGTTTATGCTGAAAGTTCATACTGGTCAGAGTCAGCCCATGATCAGTGCACAACTGGAGGAGTCCCTCTCCGTTGTCCGTGCGACGAGCATCAGCTGCAAATCCATCACCCAGGGAATTCAGACGACCGACTTGTGCATTCACATCGCCCGCAAGAATCACAATGTCAGCGATTCTTGCTAGACGAATAAGTCTGGATAACTCGACGAGAAGTGTCTTACTCAGCACCAGAACTGCAGTCCGCTGGGGTATAAGCCCACATCACAAAATGCACCGCTTTAGGGCGAGAGGCATTGAGCTTGATGGAGCCGGATAACCGGACGGCGCATAGACGCTTGTCCACCGGCATCCAAGCAGCAGAGCGTGTTCAGCTCTGGGGCTAAGTGCAACTCCCAGGCCATATATTCAGCAAGGCATTGCTTCTGGATCACCGGACACAGAAGGAAAAATGTCAAGGAGCTGAGTTTGTCCTTGGCGTTATGAGGTGCGTAATCACGCATGGACCTTATGTGCGTGTTTCAGAGACAGCATACATCTATTTCAAGGGAGCTTAGTGTTTCAGTGAGCATTGCCTGTTTGTCCATTCGACATAGAGTACGGACGTTAAAATTTCCCAGGTAGACAGGATTTCGTGGATTTACAAGGTGTTATTTTGTTTAATAGGCAACAAGGAGTATAAGGGCCATCGGTCAGAAAACTGACAGTCAAGTGAGGTTAGGAAGGGACACAGGGCTGTGCGGGTAAATGGTACTTCCAGGTTGTCCAGGCCGAGGAGGTACCCACCTTGAGCCTTTGACTCAAAAGCCTGACGATGCAGCGGACAGTAGGGTTTTCTTTGGAGACCCTCCTCGGAACCGATGACTCAATAGTCTTACGTGCTCTGCTATAGGGCGTTAGCCTAACCCGAGGGTGCAGGCATTATTGTCTCCTGATGCGGCTGCGCACAGCAGGTGCCCTTTGAGCATCATCATGCTCCGGTTATAAAAGTACTTCCACCGTATGGAATAATGCGCCGTTGTTGGCGGTCAATCGTTGGGCAATCAGGGTGTGGTTTTTTTAGGACTGACCTTGTGTAACCCGTCCTCTCGCGAATGAAGGCAATATAGCTGCTTTCATGAATATGGTGATAGAGTTCGCTTGGGGGGAACACCTTACAGCCTTCGCACTTCTTTCACAGAGGACTATTATTTTACCCACCTAGTAGCACAATTACTCTTATTACGGGGTCTCGCTGCTGTCTACCGTTTGGCCTTCCTGGCATGGTTGTACGTTTTGGAACGAAGTTCCAGCCAGTATAGCTCGTGGCATCATTGCAGCCCTCAAGCCCGATCACCACAAGGTGAGGGCTTTGGGTTCGGGCGTTGTATCACATTTTAGTGATTTCCAATTTGGTGTATTAGGTTTTAAGAGTATTTCATACCTACATCTGCCAATGTCCCGCATCCACATTCTGGACACTCTGGAGTAATATGCCAACGATGGTGGCGGAATTGACTTTCTTCAACCGGCCTTGTACAAGCGCTGGTCATACATGTGTGTCTTTGGTGTTGCTGGCCCCTAGACAATCCCTCAGAAGCGCTGTGGGTTTCAACTGTCCAATGGTTTTCACATGTCCACGCAATTACTGTTCATTGCCTTGGCACGCAGATCTCCTTCCAACTGTCCCTTCGTTTTCATAAAAGAAACTGCTCACAAGGTTGCTGAAAACTCTTCGACAGCCCATGACCGGTTTCACCCGACTCAATTGAATCTCTCGTTTATGATGTCCCCCAACTGAATCTGCTGCACACAGGCCGCCTCGTGATTCAGTTGGCACGATATTCGAGATGTCGCGATATATTGAGCCCCAAGAAGGGCGAAACCGGTCGTTGGCTGTCGAAGAGTTTCCAGCAACCTTGTGAGTAGTTTCCTTTGTGAAAATATACTGCAATATCTCGTATATCGTGCCAACTGAATCGTGAGGCGGCCTGTGTGCAGCACATTCAGTTGGGGGACATCATAAACGAGAGATTCAATTGAGTCCCTTCGCTTTCTTCATGAGTTGTATTCCGGGTACAGTTGATATTATCTGTTTATAGACCTAATTTGATGTGACAGGTGTGTCTGAAATGGATACCAGTCTAGTCTCTGTTCGCGATTGATTCAGATTTGACCGAATGGTTAAGTGGAGAAATTGGCAGGATGTCGATTGGTTGACTCTTTGCTGTGCGCTGAGATGGGGCTTACTGGTGTGAGGCAGCAGGCTACTATCACCAAAACTGAAATGTTTTAAGAATCTTCCAGTTGCATGCTAGTTCGTAGTGTGGATTCTGCTCCGCCACTCTCGTGTTGGGCATGTTTGACATAGCGGTCGCGTCACAGTAAGATATTTTCATCAGGAAATAAAGTACAGAATAACGGTCTTTAGCTACTGTTGTTTGACCTGCTACGGTAGTTTATTGAAATCGGGCCTTCAGTAGAACGGGCTTTTGTCCACATTCTCTCCTTTATGCAAGTCCCACTGCCAAAGTATCATTGGTAGTGTGAGATTTAAACATTTTTTGAGGAGATTTCGTCCTTTAAGTCAATATATGTTGAAAAGCCGAGAAGCACTGTACAGCTGTTTCATCCTTGTTAGGAATCATCAACAGTGCGCAGCTGACGAAACTTCAGAGTGTCGAACCCGCAACCTCCTGGTTAGTATTTTAAACACTTAACCGTTCGGCTCTCAGTTTCGCGAGATGCGCACCGGTGATGATTCTCAATAAGGATGAAGCAGCTGTGCAATTCTAGGCTTTTTAGAATGGATTCGCATCACTTACAGGACGAAATCTCCACCAAAAATAGCCAAGTATGGTATCTTGTTTACACCTATGTTAACCGTCGACCTTGCCCCACCTGCTTTTTCCTTCAGCCTGGATGGAGTTCACCTATATTTCGACAAAATACCCACTCTACTAAATGTGAGTGTGGTCGAAAAGCGAATTAGGTCTGTGATAAATCTAAAGCAGCCAACCAGTCGTTACTTAGATTTGCATGGACATCCTACTGTTTAAAGCGTGCGTAAGGACACAAAATCCTTCCGCACCACAATTAAGATCAATGCGTTGCAGTCAGAAGTCTTATTTGTTTGGACTTAGTATTTCTACCATCATTTTCTAACAAGATTTCACGGGCTTTTACTCAGACGACCAAATTTTATTTCTCGTATTCCAAAGGTATTTGGAAAATCCACGCCAGACTCTTGAAGCGATGCTGCTGGCCGCTGATCGCCTTCCAGGTCTTCCTACTCAATCTCAGGCAATTCTCCTGCTGAATTCTTTTAAGCTCTTCTGCACGCTTACTTCCCAATACATTCGCGATGGTTGTCAGGAGACTCCTACCCAGACTGACCTTGTTCGTCTGGTTGACCAAGTCTTGGAACTAACGAACTTCCTAGAGGATAAATTGACTTTGTTTGTTCACTCACCTGACTTGGAGGTTCAGGAACGAGTGAGTTAACTTTTTACCATCGTATTTATTTATGTAGCACCGTCTGGCTAATTTTGACTGGTTTCATCTAGTTACTCGCCTCTGCTAATTAGCACCGTCACAGCGTTCTTTGCTGCGACTTTTCGAACTTTGGTCTCACGGCTGACTTTCAGAATATCAAAAAAGTATCTATGTAGATAAGCACCTTTTTATCAACATTGGTTTCAGACTGGTTTTTACTCAACAGCTGGTTGTAAGAATATGGTGGACTATGAGGTCCATACTGCTGGTTTGTTGAAACCAGTTTACTATCTCCAGGTGTCAGAGTTTGGCACCTTGTACTCTAGCTCTTGACAATGGATTGCCCTGGCGTTTTCTGTCTACCAAAACTCATACGGGGTAAAGCAAAGTGTTGGGTCACCTACACACTCTTCCAACAACGCTGCAAGATTTAAAACGTTCTCTGTCATGCCGAGACATCCGCTTATGACACACACACGGTGAATTACAGGATCACCCATGTTTCTCACTAGAATATGGATTTAAGCAATTGTTCAGGGATTGGTCTTAAAAATTTACAAGAACATCCTTAGATGAATACAAAGGTATGGGACCACTCTATGATGTGTCGTCTCATTGCAAGAGAGCTTGATGCTGTAGACTTAACACACTACTCATTCTTCGAATGCATCGTAAACGAGAGATTCAGCTGGGTTCCAGGTGAGTCTCCCGCAAAGCCCAATTTGTTTGCAAATTAGTGCATTTAGCTCAGAGTACGATGCCATTTCCTCGCCATTTCACCTTGATACTTTTGGACGTCATGTTGCCATACTTTTAGAGTTCAAGTAAAACTCGCCGCGTTAGTATACTCTTTATTCAGGGATCAAGACTAAGGTGGCTGATACAGCATATTGCCTAGATAGAGCAGATTTCATCTGTAGATGTGAGCGACTTAATGCACTGCTTGTCCTGTTCAAATTACTCTCCCCTCCTCTCTGCTTTTTGCACTGAGTGATAGTGCTGGGTATTCTAATGTGTGGATGTGCGCTTTAGTCTGATAAAACTTCCATTAGCGCCAATCTGTTCAAACCGTTACTGCTTATTGGAATTAGCTTGTTGTGTGCAGTGCCTGGATTACCTCCTTGCTGACCCACCGATGCAGGCGTTTTGGATCACCAGGGCTGATTTAACTCCGTCGCCTACTTCAGACGGCAGGAGATTTAGTTCAAGAGCATCTGAGCATGGGCTTCCTGAACGCGTTATTCTTCAGGTGGGGAGATATACCCACTTGCAAATTGCTTTGTTGTATCGCGATATTTCGAATGTCGTACCAAATGAAGAATTCAGTTGCTTGAAAACATCATAGACGAGAGATTCAGTTGGGTTCCAGGTGAGTATTCTGCAAAGGGGGCTGGACTGAATCTGTCATTTATTATATCCTTCATTCCAGTGTGCCGTACAAAGGACGCTTCGTGTTCCAGTGGGCGATTTTAGGGATATTAAAGTATATTTCCTTAGAAAACTACTCATAAGTTTGTTTGATTGGTCTCACCCGTCTTGTGTATCACCAGGTAGACTTAGTCCTCACCTAATTCGATGTCTCGAATATCGTGTCAACTCAATTATGAGACTGCCTTTATGCAGCACATTCGGTTACAGTATCTCCTAAAAGAGAGACTCAACCGAGCGAAACAAGCTCATTTGGAAATGAGTGTATTATGGCGCCTATGGCGATGAGGCATCACTGAACACTGATTTGGTGATGCCAGTGATGATGTATTCCGATGCCTATGTAAAATTGGTATGAATAATGTTGATAGAAACTCGGTAACTACATGCGCGTGCTGAACTCTAAGAAATGTGAAAGCCTGAAAGCCTTTCGCTGCAAAGTCGGTTATTACCAAACACCAACTAAACGGTTACAATCTATTAGAGAAGAAAGTAAACATCTCGTATGCATCTTGGTTTCAAAAACTGAACATCCTCGCCCGTTTTCTTGAACTTTCATGCTATTCATTGACTATCACGCAATTGTAAATGAACTCTGCAAAGCAGTTGTCTGGTGAGGAAGCATCATGAACTGGACGATGATTTAATAGTTTGGAAATCTTTTTTCGCTTTACCTGCACTCCGTTCGTTGTTAATTTGCTACGACTTCAACATTCTAACCTGTCATGTCGTTCTATGTGGCTCCTCGCTCCATCCCCTTTCTATCAACACAGGCAGTTTCTCTCCATCAGTTGCTCTCATTAGTGGTCAAACGATTGAACAAGATCAGCGTGATTTTATCCGAGTTGCACCAATCAGTGATCGCTCAGGATATTTCACTGGAAAGTGGCGATAGGGTTCCAACCGATGACGTAAACATGTTGGCCAATTCACAAGATGTTCTGTGCTCCGTTTCCCACTCTGTCCGTTCACTTGGCATCGAATTGGGATCTCTTTTTGCCGGGGAGATCAATCCTGTTGCACCGAAAGCCCAGCAAAAAGTTCCCTTACCTGAGGGCCTTGATCTGGAAGCCTGTATAAACCCGACATTCGGACAAAGGAAAACCGACTCTCGGAAGACTCCTGCGGTGTCGGTGGGTCCCTCTTCCAAACGTTTTATATTTGCATTCACTATGGTTTCGGCTAGTTTACTTACTCTTGTATTGAGTCCCTACTTTCCAGTTACTCCATCGTCTGGTGGTAAGCCAATCACATCTGTGCTCCCAATAGCATGGGCATGCATACATCCTTAGTCTACTCGAAAACTTGAGGTTTTCAGATAGTATTTGACTGAACTTATGTCACAGACTGGCATAAAGGCGTGTTTCAGTAACACTGTGGTTTCACACCCAAACTGCGGCGAATTCGCATTTGCTTTGATTTATGGACCTTTTGTCTAAAGGTGTTCAGGAAGTAAACTTAAATTTGCTGTTTTATGTCGTCCCATCTTTCTGCACTTTTCAGATTCTTGCTGCTTAATTGTAGTTTAGTATACATCCGTCGTCCATTTTCTATTGCAGGCCCATATCGAACCGCTTATAAGGCACAACAGAAAGTCCGATTTGACAACATCTGATGGCGCCATTTTTCCTCAGCTGAGATCGGATATTCCAAAGGTCACTTTGACCGAAGCACAAGTCGAAGAAGTGAGTGTACACGCTGTTATTTTTGTTCATAACGTCTCCCATGCTTGCGACGGGCTTCGCTTGTGAACGTTCAGTTTGGATTCCACATCTAATTATCCCGGTGTTATCCAGTGTTACCGTGTGCCTAAAAAGTGTCCGGATTCGACCCACGAAAACATACTATCTTGACCTATTCCTGAGTCGCACGTATATTCCTCGCGGCGGTGACAATGGAACTACATCCTCACCGCCCTCTTCTGAGTGGTCTTCCTCTTGTTCGGGTTCGACCACTACATTTTCAAAAATATACCGAATCCTTCAGCTGCTTTAGTGCATAACTGCCATTCAATCTCTGAAGTGTTTCGCGATTTCTTGTTGGTTGAGGCGCGTAGCCATTTTTCAAACCCTGGTCTCCCGATTGCTTTTATCCTTCCTTTAGGGCGTTCTTAGTAGACAATATATACATGCATGGCGAAACTTTTCCTTTTTTTCTTCTCCCAGTGTTTGCCTTTTCACTCTACACGTGCCGTATCCCTTACGCATACTTGGTGCTCCACGTCCCTCATCAACGCCACTGAAGACTATATGGTAGTCCATACCAGGTACATCTGAGCCCCATAGATCGGTCACTGCAGTCACTTTGACGATAATGCTATAGCAGATATCAGTTATATTTGGTGAAAAATAATCTCCTATCGATTTCGGTTGACACGGTATTAACCGATCGCTGTTGTGAACGAGGAGTGTCAGCGAGATTCTTGAACTGCTCAGTCTACATTTGTGTCTCAGCCGTTGAAATGGGCATTTCATATACTTGTGTTTTATCTGTGATAGATGCGCCAGCGGCGTTTAGAAGAACAGAAGAACAATCCTCACTATTTGAAACCGACCCTATTTAATGGCCATCAAGAATCGTCGGAACCAGCGAACAATGCATACCAAGCGCTGGATGATCATAAGTTAACCAATTCGCAGCAAAACAGCCCTCAAGTCAAAGGAAGTGATTCCGGTATGAATCAAGTGGACGGAACACCGGGTAGGCAAACTTTTTTGTTTTTTTTTACGACTCGCCGACCGGCGATTAATCTTTGATTCGTGTGATAGGCCAATTCATTTCTTGAAGGTAACAAGGCTTTATAAACCGTGTTTGATGTATACTAAAAATACAGAAAAATTAAATCGTCCATCAAAAAGTCATGGATGTACCCTGCGGTCGTATATTGCACCTCAGTTGCTGCGTTGCTGAGAACTTCATTAGTTTGATTGTTCCTTGAATGAATTCCACTTTTTCTTGATGGATGTCCGCACGGAAACATTGTAGGTTCGTTTGAAGTATACGTTCTTGCCTTTCCTCTAATTTACCCACACACTAGACCATTTGGAGACGGTAATAGTCCGTCACCCAAAGAATAAGGCGATACTAACATGAGGATAGACCCGTGAGACGTGGAGTCTTTTAACCCCAAACGCAGTCGAATCAACTGTATTAAGGTGGATACAACAGTTGTCAGACCCGTTCCTAAGTTTGTACGAAAATTTTTGGATTTCTCATAAATCACCCTCCTTTAGAGTGAAGTCCTCACATGACTGTGATTTTCTTCAGTTCCGGATTTCACTAGTGAATCCTATTTAGAGGGAACATACTGCGCGGGCTAACATGAGTAGGCGATCAGAGTATATTCTGGTAACGCGTACCACAGAACAGTCCGTCAGTCGATTTCTCTAGTCGACATCCTTTGATTGATAAGCTTCACTCAGCAGCTGTTGTCTATCACTCATTATGAAATGAAGTAGCAGGGTATTTATTTCTCAAATATGGCGATACCATTCGACGTGGCGCCTTTTTTCGCGGATGATACTAGTGGTATTAACCGAGGATGATCTTCGTTTTTCGGACCCCACGAGTGATGGTCACAAAGTGCTTTCACTGGTTTAACCATATGATAGTATTTACATCAAAATTTTCAGTGTTCTAATCTCCTTTTGTATTCACTAAACGTGGTTTCGCTCCAACTAAGATTTGGACTTTTCCTGGATGGTGTTTTGTCGGTGCTTACTGCGTTACCAAGCTTAATCAATCAGTTTGTTGATTTGTGAATAAATCCTCTGGAAAAACAATCCGATGGAGATTGTTCTGTGTCTCTACCAACATGTCGTCTCGCCCAGCAAACAAAATAAGCTACATCGAAGCGCTTATTTATGTTCAAGGCGTTACTGTAGTTGACTGAGTGTTTCAAACCTACTCAGCATTGAGAACAAGCGCCCTCTTCATAGGCTATTTCTCGCTCGAGAGTGATTTAGGTGGATGTTCTTTCGGGTGGTACCAGTAAAGGGACCAGTCGAATAAAGTTACGCCAAATAGCAAATTCAGTTGCAGCAGCTGATTAGCCGCGAACATGATGCATCACCTCGCAACTACACAATCCTATCAAGGCCCAGGTTGAGTGATTCCATGAACTATGAGTCGACAACACCCAGCATGTTTTAGCAACTCGATCTAGAACTTCACTAAGCATCTTGGGGTTGTATAACATGGAAAACACAATGGGTTGTATCAGCGTTTATTAGCTGGTTAATTATGTGGATTAATGCTCCAGATTCTGATCTGAACTATATTTTTGCCCATGCTGCATATACAAGAAGCCCACATTTTGTGAATTATGAAGCCCTCTTTTCTCTGTCCGGCTTGTAACGTTGACTTCTATCGGATCACTCGGGTGTGTCTGTTTTCATTCCGACCGTCTGCTTTTGCACTACCTAGGAGACGCATCTGAACACGTTTCCGTGCTTTTCACCTACTCACCAACATTGATTTTCGAAGTCTTTCCATAATCATGTTTCTGCTCCTTCAGTTCATGGACTGGCTCGATCTGACCAGTTTGCAGAAGAAATACAACAAAGGTTTGCAGAGTTGGCGATGCAGGAATCAAAGTCTCGGTAGGTGCATATTGGCTATGAGGTGAACCAAAAACGCTCCCTCTATACTCGCCCGTACTCTATCGAAGATGCAAATGTTTATAAACTGTAATTTGTTTTTCTTGTGTATGTCCGTTCATCGGAATTCGTGGCGGCTTTTTTTCGTTTTTTTTTAAAGTGAATTTGCCTTGTGCTTGTCATATTACAGCCTCAATCCTTTTGATATTGGTACCTAGATCTGTTTTCACCAGGTTGACCTCGCAAGAGCCCTTCTCCACATATGAACTATTGTTTACCCCCTTTTGCGCGCGGACTTTTTCCTATCCGTGCAGGTCACGATCCTCGGGCGTAAAAAAGTCGCGCAAAACGAAACGATCCGGTTGCCAAGACTTCCACTTCACCGTTGAGGGGGACGAAGATATTTCAAAGCTCATAGCTTCTCCGGTTGTACGAGGAGATCTTGATATGCCCGAAGTGAGTATTTCTTTACTTTTTATCTCCACTTATGATGCAATCTTTGTCTCACACCCGTGTGTCTTTCCGCGAACTACTACTTACGAGTAGTGGTAAAAATATTCTTTTTTTCTATGTGGAGTAATTGGGTCGCCACTTTTCTCGCAAAAATATAGCCAATGTGGTTTCTATCCTTATTGTAAACCGCGTCAATAAGAATGAGACAATCAACTTAAGCACGTACTTTCGTGTGACAGATTCTCGGCCACTGCTCTGTTCCGACCGTACCACAGGCAACCTGCAATAAATCTGATCTTTCCTTGAAATATTCCCTTTCTTATCTTAATGTAAGCATTTTAAGTGCTGGACGACTGTTTGAAATCTTCAGCAACAAGCTACCCTTCAACATAAGTTGACTTCGTTTTGTGGGATGGAATTCGCAGTTGGTTTGCGGGGTCATTTGTGAGTTGTTAGATCCCCCTTCGTCTGTAGACCGAAGATAAAGCTTTAGGAATAAAGTGGCCAGTTGGTGATTGGCTACGTTGATATTTTTGTCTGGTCCCGATATTTGTCAAAAGGTGACCGAGACTGATGATGGGACAAGACAAAGACCCGCTATACGCGAGTATACACCGTTACACAGTTATTTGAGGTAATTGTGAAGTATTGTGTGGTAGTCTGTCCAGCTGCCTGCTCCTACATTATGGATACACACTGGTTAACAAAAGCTTCATGCGTCTGCAGAGGCGAATTCTGGGCGTTAGAATCTGATCAGGGGAAGCCGCATCCAGTGGGTAAATTTTCGACGCTTAAAAACCCATAATCATCTCTTGGTGGTCATCTGATATCCTACCGTTCATGCGCCTGTCAGTCCTTCGTTGGTTGTGTGTTGGGGTCACCCGCTTTGAGGCATCACAGCATAACCCGTGTGTCATACCCACATGTTAGTTCACAACAAGGATTGACCACTCAAATACTCATTCGATACGGGATTGCATGCCTTCAATGGAGGTACAACCTTTGGGACCTCCCATTACTTGTAATACCTTCACAGTTGAAAATTTTTCTCTCTCATTTCATATGGTCCATCTTGAGAGAAACGTTGTTTGAGGGGTAGTATTACCATTAGGGACAGAGTTTTTCCGCAAAGTACGGTCCAAAGCACGAGTGAACTCTGAACTAGTTCAAAATAACCAGGTTAGAGAAACAGTATGGAACTCAAAGTTGGGAGTACGTCTTCACCACCCAAACACTGTGGAGTTCACTGACTCATTCTAATTGTGATAATCTGCGATCAAACTACCAGTGTCATTCTTAAGCCTCTGAAAACAGTGGTTTTCCAATACATCAAGTTTTCTTGTCGTATAATGAATTTATTATTGATCGAGGTCTCAGCCACTGATGAAAGGAGAAAACAGGTAAGCCATATTCAACCTGAACGTTTTATTCGTGCTCTCATCCGCATCGTGGCGGCCTTTTTTGTTGTGGTTAATTTACATGTGACTGGTTTCGCATGCTGTGGTGTTGGTGGTGTGAACTTTAGACCACCTAGAAATGCGACGGAGGTTATCTCTCCAATGGAAACTGTTTTAGCGCGTGTGAAATCAAATGATAGGAATGTAGTGTTTTTTAACGGGTTGGTTGCACTTGGAGCTTTGGGGCCGGGGGCTTTGACCAGTGAATTGAAGCCAAGGGGATCCGCTTTACTCTTGAACGCAAGAAGTTTACTTCAAAGTGAAATGAAATCTGTGGAGCGTTAACAGGGGTAATGTAATTCAATGTCATACCGTGATCTATTTGGAATCTCAGCTAAAGGGTACTGTGAACGAATTTCTGCAAATTTTGTGTGAAACTCTTTTGACGAGCAGTTCAGATACAGACTGTCGTAAACTAGACAGTTTCAAATAGTACTGATTACGATAATTAACGATATTTTTCAACGCAATTACTTGTAACTGCCCTTCATCTTCTTTCCGCTTTTTCTAGGGCATATCACCCGACGATCAGTCACCTACTGAGGCAGTTGATCCCAACGACCCACACCATCGATTGAGTATCCCTCTAGACGACCTTATCAATGTTGAACCGACTGTTGCATCTAAAAACCACATGACTTCAAAGGACACATCGAGACGTACCAGAAAGGTACGTTATGCACCGTTCGTTTTTCCCTTCAGTTTGGTGTATGTTCCACCCGGATACCTTTATTTTCTGGGATCTTTTCTGTTCGTTAGATCTCACCTGTCTGGACTGGTGGACAGTACCCGTTGCTTATCGTTTGTGCGTTTTTAACCTCTATTTCCATTGTCCTTGCTCAATTTTAGCGATGTTATTAGGCGCTTCTTGGGGTGACGTCTATGTGTGCGACGATTGTTGAACTTGGTTTGGCCGGGACGTATTCATTTCCCGTCGGTCTGGGATTATACTTGGCACCGGAGGTGTAGGCACCTCCGAATGATTGTGTTAAGCTACACTAAGTCCCCTCCCCCATCCACCTTTATTCTTTTCTTTACAATAAGGCTTTCAAATAAGCCATGGTTGTACGGCAGTGAAGCATCGGTGTTGAGCACTGATGTCATGCTGTCGATGATGATGATGATACTTGGCACTAGGGTACGGAATAACATACGGTTAATCCTAGGCACTGCAGTTGCGTTGACAAGACCAACCTGTACACCTTCTCGGCGAATCGCCCCAACGTGACCAAACGCTCACTTTCAGTTGTCTCGTTTCAGCTTTGTGCAAAATTACGGACCGTTGTGGGGGGCGAGATGGCCCCAGTGGTTAGAGCACAGATTTACTGACCGGAGGGTCCGTGGTTCGAATCCGACCTCTGCCTCTCGACTTCCCCTGTGTAGGCTTGGGCAACCTGGCAGTATCCCAGCCCTCGTGCTTTCTTCGGGTGACATGGCAGCTAGGCACCGGAAGGGTGCTACAGCTGAACGCTTTCTTTCTTTTCTTTCACGGACCGTTTTAGCAACGAAAACTTATGTACTAGTCTGATTGACTGTTGTCCGTGCATCAACATATAGTAATATGTCTTTACTTCAGTCCATGCTGTGCAGTACTAATATTTCTAGCAAAACATGAGTTTATCCTGTGTATTCGTATACTCTTCATCGCGCATAACTGCCGTGCTAGTACGGCAGAACAGTACGTTCCGACGGAAACTTGCATCACCAATGTTCTGGATCTTTTTATCATTGACTGATGTACTGGGCGAAATTCCTTAGAATATCAGTTGTATTTCAGCACACAGTCATCAGATTTAGAGTACATGACTCGCCTGTTGAAGACGGGGGCGAGATGGCCCAAGTGGTAAGAGCGCGAATTTACTGACCGGAAGGTCCGTGGTTCGAATCCGACCTCCGCCTCTCGATTTCCCCTGTCTAGGCTTGGGCAACGTGACAGTATCCCAGCCCTCGTGCTTCCTTCGGGTGGCATGGCAGCTAGGCACCGAAAGGGTGCTGCAGCTGAAAGCTGTTGAAGATGATGGACTTGAACTATCGTGCAATTTTTATGACGAGTTCAACTGTGCTGGTGATGCGAGAATGTGGTGACGGTGCGAACTGCTGATAAATCCAGCTTCGTTTTCCAGTGACGATTGACTGATGGCCACGAAATTCAATTATATTCATTCTTCAAAAGAAACAAACGGTAGTCATTCATGGTTTCCATGGGTTTCTGATTGGTAGCTACCTTCGTTAGTCACCAGACTTCAGTTTGCACTCTAACTTCTCATATTCCATACCATCACATTAGAATTCAGTACCGAATCGGTCTCCATTAAGCGGCTTTGATTAGTTTTCACATTCTCGGAAACCCTACACATTCATTTCAAGCCAAGTTCGACTTCAATCAGTAGCCAATTGGGTGTGAACAATGTCCTCCCAACAGGAAATTCCCATGCACACAGCTGAGTGCAGTACTGGAAAACTGTCCAACGCGCGTTTTTCTGTTTGTGACAGAAACTTCAATATCTCTTATTTAGACGAACTAAAAGCCAAATTGATTTTCATAACTTCCCAGGTTTCTGCTTGCATTTCAGTCATCATGACCACTAATCGGTCTCAGTGTCCTTTGAATATTTGTGTTACTGATTACTGTCTGTACGTAAGCCCAATAGAAATTGCGTTGTCGCGCTAGTTGAGTGAGCTCAAACTCAACCCTGAATTCCTCTTCACTATCATTACAGTTATCACTATTACTCCGTCCCTTTAAGTAACTGTCTTCTGTTGTCTTTGGGTCAGCTACCACGGGCAAAATGTGGGAACAGAAAGCTAGAATGAGAGAAAAGTTAAGGATCCTACTGTTTTGATGTACTAGTGAGGCTGAAAGTGGGGAGCAGGGTCAATTAAGTTAGGTAACCACGCTGACCTATCAAAAAGTCGATGAGAGTTGTCAGCTCTTCAGCCTGTTAGGGGACATTTGGTAATTCCGCTAGGTTGTGCAACCAAAATTTCATAGCTCGAAACCTTGTCATCAGCGGCTCCTCTGTCTTGTTGGGGGTCTTCGGAAGTGGCTGTCTCCATGTCCGGAGGGTACTACCGAGTCACTGTCCATCGTAATTTTAGGCATATTTTTCCATGAAAGTGAATTTATCCTGGTAAGCTGGCACAGAGCTGCTCCTTTCGTCCGGTGCGTTAGCTTGATAGGAGTGTGTTGGCAGAGGCAGCCAACTGTATGCAAATTTTGGACTGTAATGATTGCCTGGTCGCACAAACCACGAAAAATTGTCTTCTCCGACGGCAGCGTCGCTGAAGTGGCAAGACGGATGTGACTTTGCTCATCCTATACATAACCCTATTCATAGCATGGGAACAGAAACACTCGACAATTCCAGAGTGGATGAAGTTGTCGACAACCCTGGGCGGATAGTCTGTTGTGTCAAACTGTTCCTGACCCAGTCTCGTAGTGATTTTTTAACATTTCAAAGTGCATCTGGAAAAAATTGTTTTTTCTAAGATTGAAGGTGAATCAGAACTAGAATCATCGTACTTAGTGTCCAACTGCATATCATCCAGATTTGCAGTTGTTTCCCTCATACCGTAAATCTGGGAGTTGAAAATGAGAGTATGGATCTAGTACCCTTAGTGGTCCTCGCTTGGTGTGAGGCCATGGAATACAGTTTCCGATGAACAACTTGCGTACACCAGACGTATCATATATATATATATATATATATATATATATATATACTGTATGTACGCAATCTCTACTTCAGAGTGGAATCTGAACCCACTAAGAACTCATGTTCTCTTGTTGCTGCGCGCAGTCGAGTAGTTCCAAACGAAAGCATTCTTGCCATTGTACTGCAGTCGCTGGATCACTCGTTTATTCATTGATTTTTGTAGCGTACAGGACATTTCCATAGGTTTAGCCTACACACGATCGCAGTATGCAAAAGTCTACGCAAATGGGCCCGTTCTGTTGCAGGCCAAGATCCAGCGTCTCTCGTTGGGCGTTCCCATCACCTAAGCTCTGAATGGCCCAACTCCATATGGATGTAGTCAGCCATGTGTCGTCCTCCAGCGGTTTGATCTACTTGCCGGCCATTGTTAATCGCTGTACCCAATGGCCATTTCATGCCAGCTGTAAGCGCTGAGTGTATGTTCCGAAAGACACCGTTATTACTGTGATGTTAGCGACTGTGCGTCGGTTCGCGTATCTGTTTTTTCAGTATCACAGAGGCAATTTTACTGCCGTGACAGACAGCGCCAAACCTCAGTTTAGTTCGCAACCTTTGATTCTTATGGCATTTTGCAGAACTCCGTGTGCTTGCACAGTGCACCAAAAACGAAGACTGTACCTTGAGTACACAACATCCCGTTACTTGCATGCATAGTGTAGCTGCGCCCACGTTATCTTATGAAATCAGTCTTACTAATAACATTATTGTTGTCTTAGCCGCGCTGTTCAAAATCCACAGTCTAGTGTAGCTATACGATTTGGTAAACAATGATCAGAGTGGTATAGCACTCCTCGAGGATGCACTTCCACCAGAGCCTTAGGATAGACACTTTCCAGACCTCTAAATTGCTGATAGACTTCATAAAAGACGGACACATCAACATGACAATCCACTTGCCGCTGAGCGACCTGGGTCAGTTGTCTGAACGGCCAAGGTTTCCACTGCGTAGTGTCCGTTAGAACATGTATATTAATCTCCTTTTATATAGTTCTACATCATGCTAGCCTTGGTGAGTGGGGTATCCATTGTGCTACGGGTGAACCCATTTTTTTCCTCTGGTTAATCGGTCTGTTGAATTCACCTCTGACTCTGTCTTTTCAAAGACCTGGTCTAACCCTGGCTGATTGTGTACGCTGGAGAGGCGATATTTCGACATGGTCACCTCAATTTTGTTATGTTATTTTGACCGTATTTTTTTACTAAGCGTATGGTTAGCGGTGTTTTCTAACCCAATAAGCCGATTAGTTCAAAATTCGAATCCCTGTACAGCCGTCGTTACTGATACGATAGTGCAACGTCGATAATTCAGCTAACTTCACAACACTGAGGATCCGATTTGTCTGCTCGAACTCAGTGGGTCCTACGTAAAGCAGTGTGGCGTGATACACAATCATAACTTGGTGTGCTGTCGAAAATGTTTTGTGGCAGTGAAGTGACTGAGAACAGTTCCGTTTTGTGAAATCCACAAAGGTGCTGCCGAGGGTATCGTCAACCGAACTAGCATAAACTCGCATAAACCTAAAAGTGTATTGGGGTGTGCTAAGCACACTGTCATGGTTATGTCAGACTAGGTCTGTCTGTCTGTCTGTCACACAACACACTTTGTAGCTCTAAACACGATACGGAAAAAGGTGTCCCTGTTTTCGAATGAAATAATGGAGATAACGCAACAAACTGAAAGCCGTGAAACATCTCACAACATTCGATGTTTTCTGCGCAGCCATGGGTCGTAGTGTATCGGGGAACACTGGTAAAAATGCTCAGATTCTGCCGAAAAGATCAGAAATCATATCCTCTATCTTTTTTCGGAAAAGTTCGAGAAAGATGTAGGAATGGAGTAATGTGCCATATTGTGATATTTGACACAAGATGTAAAGCACATTGAGAAAAAGTCAAATCTCTTTACAATTACGGGTAGAATCACAGCCGCAGGACGGGGTCTGGAATCTACGATCGTAAATGAAACCTGACTTGAACACAGTCAGTTTTTGTTACCCCAATGTGAAGGTTTTCATCAATTTTCAGTAGTAAATTTTCCGAAAGAAGCTATTTTTCTGCATATTATTTCAAACGTAATTTCCGGAACCCATTTTTTTCCTCTGGTTAATCGGTCTGTTGAATTCACCTCTGACTCTGTCTTTTCAAAGACCTGGTCTAACCCTGGCTGATTGTGTACGCTGGAGAGGCGATATTTCGACATGGTCACCTCAATTTTGTTATGTTATTTTGACCGTATTTTTTTACTAAGCGTATGGTTAGCGGTGTTTTCTAACCCAATAAGCCGATTAGTTCAAAATTCGAATCCCTGTACAGCCGTCGTTACTGATACGATAGTGCAACGTCGATAATTCAGCTAACTTCACAACACTGAGGATCCGATTTGTCTGCTCGAACTCAGTGGGTCCTACGTAAAGCAGTGTGGCGTGATACACAATCATAACTTGGTGTGCTGTCGAAAATGTTTTGTGGCAGTGAAGTGACTGAGAACAGTTCCGTTTTGTGAAATCCACAAAGGTGCTGCCGAGGGTATCGTCAACCGAACTAGCATAAACTCGCATAAACCTAAAAGTGTATTGGGGTGTGCTAAGCACACTGTCATGGTTATGTCAGACTAGGTCTGTCTGTCTGTCTGTCACACAACACACTTTGTAGCTCTAAACACGATACGGAAAAAGGTGTCCCTGTTTTCGAATGAAATAATGGAGATAACGCAACAAACTGAAAGCCGTGAAACATCTCACAACATTCGATGTTTTCTGCGCAGCCATGGGTCGTAGTGTATCGGGGAACACTGGTAAAAATGCTCAGATTCTGCCGAAAAGATCAGAAATCATATCCTCTATCTTTTTTCGGAAAAGTTCGAGAAAGATGTAGGAATGGAGTAATGTGCCATATTGTGATATTTGACACAAGATGTAAAGCACATTGAGAAAAAGTCAAATCTCTTTACAATTACGGGTAGAATCACAGCCGCAGGACGGGGTCTGGAATCTACGATCGTAAATGAAACCTGACTTGAACACAGTCAGTTTTTGTTACCCCAATGTGAAGGTTTTCATCAATTTTCAGTAGTAAATTTTCCGAAAGAAGCTATTTTTCTGCATATTATTTCAAACGTAATTTCCGGTTTTCATAGGGGAAACTACTCACAAGTTTGCTGAAAACCCTTCGACCTTGTCAGTTTCCTTTATGGAAATATACTACGGTATCTTGAATGTCGTGCCAACTGAAACATGAGGCGGCCTGTGTGCAGCACTTTCAGTTGTAGAATATCATAAACGAAAGATTCAGTTGAGTCTCTTGTGAAAACCAAATCGATTTGCAAATGAGTGTATTTCTCGTAATTTCCGGTTATTATTTTTAGGGGTGCGCGTTGTGTTTGACACGCCTCTCTGTTACAATGACTGTTCTAGCTGGATTTTGTTATCGCTCCCTAGGGCCCCACTGGCTGTGTCAAGTTAAGGCACTTTTCATCCTGTCTTCGTTTTTCTATCTTCCATATCCGTATCGTGCTTTTCTTACTTCGCTTGTCTTGTAGTTTGAAAAACGTCACACAATCGCCAATGCGAAGGACACGAATACACGCTCCACGTCAGCTGTTGATGTATCCTCGGATCAATTGTCGCTCCAGAATCACACCTTGATAGCCGAACCATCAAATAATGGTGATTACCTTCAGATTTCCAATGAGAACAGGACGCGGAGGCACGAAACCTCATCGAGCATAAAGGTGCGCACTGCTTCTGTCAGTTAATTACTACGTGTTTGAGGTTCTGATATTTAGTACATGGATTGGTTGCATTGATTGCATGGAACACATCTATGCAATCAACGCTGATGTGTGTAGTAAGCCAGAGCCATTTGTCACTTATTTGTGGGACGCATTCCATTTTTCACTGAGAGCTTGTCACAGTGTTCCTCTTTCAATATGAAGTAGTTGCGTTGAAGACACAATTTTTTAAGTTCGATGCTCAACCTGAAAGAAGTGTACTCCGGAGATGTGTTCTTACTTCATCCGCTAATATTGCTTACTATTGTCTTATCATTGTGTGTGGTTAGTTGATGTTTGATTGCAATTTGATGAGCCTCACTATCCGCGCAACCTTTTTCGGTGAGGGGTTAATCTTCGACGTGAACGTAACAGGTCATTTTCAGGGTATTCCCTGACTTTAGCTCGGCTGCTTTTCAGTGTTCGTTGTAAATCTAAAATAGTGGTTTACTGTAATCTTCCTTTCAGCAGAATACCTCCCCTAGCATGGTATCTCCAGATCCCAATCCATCCCTCTCCATCACACCGAGCCAAGCACGTTTTGCTCGCAGGGAGATCTCTCCCGAGAATTTCTCTGAAGTGCTCTCCAATACGATCAACGACTGTTCACGCAATGGAAAGGTTCGTTGTCCCGCCACTGTCGCGTTGGCCGAATCAGGTGACACTGCTCAGTGGTGCAAGGCCTTTCGACGTGTCCTCAGGGTCATTGTGAAGAAGCTTCCATGTTACCGTAAGTTAGGAGTGTCACCATGAAAAAATAGGGAAAGTCCTTTTGGGAGTACAAATCCTTTTTATGATGACGTTATGGAATCGTAGATGTGAGAAATTTACCTCACTTGTTTGGGCTTTCGGGAACTCCGAGGGTTCCTAAATCCAGCTTCGTTTATGTTACGGGTGCCATGGTATCTCGCACTTCTAACAAAGTGTCCTCTCTAGTTGGATATAAAAATCGCTTTACAGCGGATGTACAACGTCAGCAATTTTGCTGATCTCTATGACTCCACATCTCCCGATTGTGACTTTGTCATTATTCTAGTTTCCTGAGCATTCCTTTAGTAAATTCAACATCGGATAGACGAGATATATTATCAGGCACAACGTCGTAATTCACCGTGGAGTACGATAGTGTCGTGGTTCCCTTCAAGTCATCGTTTGTTTTGCGGTTCACTTGTGTCTGATTTATTATCCCGATGACCACAGACAAAGTATTTAGCATAGTCACTTCTATACTCTTCGAGGTTTTGGGGGTATTATACCGTTCTGTTTTCTTGTGCTACTTGGTATTACGGATGATTGTTCGGTAAAAAGGTCGTTTTTGGAAACATGCGCTGTTTCAATTTGTTCGCTTCTTAGCTTTGCCGGTGCTGGTTGATTTCTTCCCAGTCTTTGGTTATTAGTTCACGTTTGTCCTCACTTTATCTTTACAGCCGTGGAGATAATCGATTCCCGTGCTGCCTCTCTCTATACGGAGCGGGAATCTCTTGGGCACCCTCTTTGTATTCTTATTAAACTTTCGGTAAGTGTTCAGTATTTACCCCGTCATCGTGCCCTTGACCGAGAAGGTTTCTGTCATAGTTGGCTTTTTACTCACGGGATACCTTTGCCCTGTTTATTTGAGGATAGTGTCTGACAAAGGTTGAAATTCCTCTGACAACTCGAGTCTTGCAGCGTTTGTCATCCCGACGGTACAAGTTTACTAGTTAGGCTTCTTCAGTAGGTGGCCGGGAAGCGTATTCGCAAGTCAAGGGCGGTATTTACATCTCATTCGTCTTCTGGCAACAACGGATATAACCTTCTTATTCACTGGATTGATCTCTTTAGTAGTAGGTAGTTGTGGGATGTGTAGATTTCATGCTCAAATCCCTCTTGTCTGAACAGTTGCCCTCCTGCCCTGGCGCAATTATTCTGGTGAGTCCACACCAAAGGGAGAAGCACTGGACTCGATTATCAGGTGACACTGCTCAGTGGTGCAAGGCCTTTCGACGTGTCCTCAGGGTCATTGTGAAGAAGCTTCCATGTTACCGTAAGTTAGGAGTGTCACCATGAAAAAATAGGGAAAGTCCTTTTGGGAGTACAAATCCTTTTTATGATGACGTTATGGAATCGTAGATGTGAGAAATTTACCTCACTTGTTTGGGCTTTCGGGAACTCCGAGGGTTCCTAAATCCAGCTTCGTTTATGTTACGGGTGCCATGGTATCTCGCACTTCTAACAAAGTGTCCTCTCTAGTTGGATATAAAAATCGCTTTACAGCGGATGTACAACGTCAGCAATTTTGCTGATCTCTATGACTCCACATCTCCCGATTGTGACTTTGTCATTATTCTAGTTTCCTGAGCATTCCTTTAGTAAATTCAACATCGGATAGACGAGATATATTATCAGGCACAACGTCGTAATTCACCGTGGAGTACGATAGTGTCGTGGTTCCCTTCAAGTCATCGTTTGTTTTGCGGTTCACTTGTGTCTGATTTATTATCCCGATGACCACAGACAAAGTATTTAGCATAGTCACTTCTATACTCTTCGAGGTTTTGGGGGTATTATACCGTTCTGTTTTCTTGTGCTACTTGGTATTACGGATGATTGTTCGGTAAAAAGGTCGTTTTTGGAAACATGCGCTGTTTCAATTTGTTCGCTTCTTAGCTTTGCCGGTGCTGGTTGATTTCTTCCCAGTCTTTGGTTATTAGTTCACGTTTGTCCTCACTTTATCTTTACAGCCGTGGAGATAATCGATTCCCGTGCTGCCTCTCTCTATACGGAGCGGGAATCTCTTGGGCACCCTCTTTGTATTCTTATTAAACTTTCGGTAAGTGTTCAGTATTTACCCCGTCATCGTGCCCTTGACCGAGAAGGTTTCTGTCATAGTTGGCTTTTTACTCACGGGATACCTTTGCCCTGTTTATTTGAGGATAGTGTCTGACAAAGGTTGAAATTCCTCTGACAACTCGAGTCTTGCAGCGTTTGTCATCCCGACGGTACAAGTTTACTAGTTAGGCTTCTTCAGTAGGTGGCCGGGAAGCGTATTCGCAAGTCAAGGGCGGTATTTACATCTCATTCGTCTTCTGGCAACAACGGATATAACCTTCTTATTCACTGGATTGATCTCTTTAGTAGTAGGTAGTTGTGGGATGTGTAGATTTCATGCTCAAATCCCTCTTGTCTGAACAGTTGCCCTCCTGCCCTGGCGCAATTATTCTGGTGAGTCCACACCAAAGGGAGAAGCACTGGACTCGATTTTCACTCTTATTGGAGCTCATCAGCAGTGCATATCCTTGGCCGTGCCAAGGTCTGAACTCCAAACATCTGAAATGCGAGGCCGGGCTAGCGTGTTGCCACTACTCTAACGGTGTACGCTGGATGCATCTGAATTTTCACGTCCAAACAGGTTCACCCTGTGGCGGTGTAACTGGTTCGCTCGGTGCCTCGAACGGCGACCGATTGGCTCTCCTGTCAGGGCCTCCCACTGAGGTAGCTCAGCAGACGCTTGATACCTGTTGGACAATTTTAATTCGTTGTGGCGAAACTCAGGTCCAGTGCTTGCCCAATTGGGTGTGGACTCACCAGAATACTTGCGCAAGGAGGGGAGAACGATTGTTCGGACGAGAGTGACGTGAGCGTCATAACCAGTAGTTTGCGCGAGCCTCGGAGTAGATGAAAAATCCTGAATATGTTGGGAGGGAGCTTTTGGGAGGAAAACGAAGTTGTTCGGATTGGAAATTGTTTACTTTGCAGGTGGTGAGATATCTATCTATGGTACTGTTCTCAAGGCAAGAAAGACAAATAGCCTCATTGAGAATTGTACATCCTAGTGCGTTGCACAAACACCACCATCCTACTCCCTTAGAGTGTTCCGTGTCGAGTACGTCCAAGGTCGTTATGGTAGTGCGTAGTCCAAACCCCCCACCCACACTGTAACTCTCACTGTCCACGCTTTATGTCAAATCGGGCATCCTTTCCTATCTCCGAAACACGTATTAAATACTCCAACTCGGTCAGATACCTTGAACCTCCTGAGATGAGCCAATTTATTTCACACTTAGCTTTTTCAGGATCTGAAAATCTTTATACAGTACCGTATGACGTAGGACTCACGCCCACCAATCGAAAATTGCAGCACTGTATTAGCTCAGTACTCTCGAGCTAATCTTCCTAGAGGGCTATTAGAAACACACAAACACAACAAAAACCCTTTGGAGAGTGAAAAAGTGAGACCCCCTCAAGACGGTCCTTACGAGCTGTCCTACTTGACATAACGAACGCTGGTTGTATCTTGGTTCAACGGTTTCTGTTGATGAGTACTTGTTACTCATCGGTTGAACTTGCTTGTCTAGAACTCTCGAATATTATTGCGCATGTTAAGATTCTGCCTTTTCTCAAGGTCTATGAGCTTTTTGAAATTCACTGTCTTCGGTAAATGTTATTCCCTAGTTAAATTTTTTTTGAAACTAACGTCACTTCCAGTTCAAGGGTCTTCATCGCTCAACGCATCTCAATCCTGGCACCTTTGCTGAGAGAGAAACTCGATAGAGCGCTAGTGCATCGAGCAACATACTGCCGTTTGTTTCCTGCCTCTGATAACAGTAAAGCAGTAGTATTGTAATCCCTCGCGTATAACAAGCCAGTGGTGTGAATCACATTGGATTGAACGGTTACCATTATCATTTATTTTTGAAGAGCATGGTCACAAACATAAAAAGTGAGTGCAAGCGATGAATGCGAAAGAGTAACAGGAGAATATGGGAGAAAAGAGAAACGTCTCATTCGAAATCATCCCAAGGACAGTGCCAGTCTGATGAGGTGAATCCCAAAGTATGTAATGATTTTGGTATGGGAACACGCGTCTAAGGACCAACAACCAAAGAAAG